TCGAACTCACAGAGATCCGCCTGGCTCTGCCTCCCGAGTGCTGGGATTAAAGGCTTGCGCCACCACCGCCCGGCTATACTTTTCAGAATTTAAATGCTGGGCAAACTACTGTTTTCACTCTTTTATTATTTTTAATTATGTGTATGGGTGTGTGTGTGTGTGTGTGTATATATATATATATATATATATATATATATATATATTATGCTTGCACATGCCCATGGAAGTCAGAGGTGTCAGGTTGCTTAGAACTGGATTTACAGGCCTTTTAGAGCCACCTAACATGGGCACTAGAACCCGAACTGGCATCCTCTCTCATAGTAGTATGTGCCCTTAACTGCTGGCCATCACTCCGTGATTTCTGCCAGTAACGCTTTTGTCCTAGGCTGCTTTAAGCTTGGGTATCTAATCCTCTCCCCCTTTGGAACCCACACATCCAGCTTCCATCTCTCAAAGGACACTCTTGCAGTTTCCTCCTGGGATGTCTTTCAGGTCTAAGTCTTCTTTCACTCTTCACTCAACCCATGCATTTCCTGGCTCACATCAAGACTGCACAGGTGTATAGCCCATCCGCTTCTGTCTCCTGCTGCTCTGTTCATCACTGCTGGATGCCATCGTTCTTGCTTAGACATCATCTGTGGCTTCAGCCCGGCTCAAAGCTGGGCCTTCTCGACCCTGTGTGTCATCTGCTGTCTGCCCACAGGCTCTGTTCTCTGAGCTTCTTTTCTGCTCTTCCTCAGTTTGAACCCTCAACACGGATTTATTTTTCACTTGGCCCCCAATACAATTTTTTTTGTCTCCTTAACATTTAGTTGGGCTTTCCTTGTCCTCATCCATGGTGCCCTCCTCTTTTCTAACAAAATCCATGTCCAACCTGTAAGGCTCTTATATCTTCCAACCACTTCTCCACCCAAAGCACAAAGTGATTGTGTGACCTCTGACCTCCCTTAACCTTCAATCCTACTCCTAGTTACTTGGTTATAAACTGTCACTCACTGCTAGGTAGCTGTAATGGTGTAGGTTGTCCCTTGATTCCTTAAACTACTTGATATTTTAGAGGACAAGAGGCGAGACCTCCCATTTGGTGAACCCAGCAGCATCTAACTGATTTTTCAGGTGTCCTGCTTATGGGTATCACTTACAAAGCAGTGCAGTGCAGAATCCGTGAGTATGTGGTCCACAAAGTAGGAAATAGTGGGAGTTCCCTTAGTGATGTCGATTTCAAGGATGTGATGCTTAGAAGAGGGGAGAGCCACAGAGTGAGTGCAGTCCTGGCAACAAACTGTTTGATCCAAGCTAATGTCAGGTCTTTGATCCTCTGTGCCTATCACCGTAGGTCTACCCGGGAAATTCAAAGGCATCATTGATGGGTTCCCATCATGTGCCAGGTTATGGGACTCTGGGAGTCTCATTCAGGTGACTCTAGTAGACAAAACAGATCCCTGCTGTCCTGGAACTTGAGCTGCTGGGTATGGAAAAGCAGCACAAATAAATAGTATCAGGTGATAGCGATGAATGCTGAGGTGGAAAACAAACCAGGTTAAGTGGCAGAGAGAAAAGCTGTTCTTCTATACCAACTAGTCACAAAGACATTCTCCATCTGTCTGAAAGTAGTGTGTGCTTTAAAATGCAGCCAGGCTGGGGATAGGGTTCAGTGGTAGAGCACTTGCGAGGTCCTGAGCTCTATTCCTGGCCTACAGAAAGAAGGAAATAAACCTAAAATCAAAACAAAACAAAGCCCATTCTCCCTTGACTAAAATCCAGGAAGCAGAGTTGGTGGGGTAGCCAGGATGGAAGTAGACATTCTTGTTTCTTGCTGCCCCTTCTCTGCAGTGAGAGGGCTTGGCGGTGTCTACTGGCCAGGGTAGACCCTAGAAAGCAGGTGGCAAAAGGGAAAAGGTGAGAGATTGATCCTACAGTAAGAAATGGCCTGGGGGTGGTGCACCCCTTCATGAAGGAGCAGAAAACGGGTGTGTCTCTGGCTTGTGGACCCAGGTGTGAGCACCGAAGCCTGAACCTACCACGTGCTCTCGACTTTGGGAAAAGGAAAGGCTTAAGACTTCTTCACTAGTCTGGATAGTATGTCAGCTTTGAATACTCAATTTGTTTTCCAGTTTCCCCTTTCTCATGTTAAGGATTGAAATCCTTACACTCAAGTTAACAAGATGATTTGACCCAAACTTAGTCTTTCAGATGATTTTCTCCATGTCACTAACAGGTTTCTCTGTAGCTAGCAAGTGGAAGTTTGCTCCGATAAGATGTAAGTTTTGTAAATGCGGTGCGACATACACCTCTTTGATAGGTAGAGAAGATGGGGTATTAGTTGGATAAATATTTAAGGAAAGCAAGGTTCCACCCACAGAGCTGGAGGGTGTGGTGGTGTGTGTGTTTCTGCTCGTGCAAAGTGTATATCCTTCTGCATACACCTCAAGAAAAGTGCCTGGGAGTTCAGCTCACTCAGAAGCTTCGATACAGGGCTTGCTATCAATGTTATAGAACTGGGAGGCAGGGAAGCTTGTGTGGGAGCCACAGAAAGTACTTAAGCAAGGAACTGAGAGCTCATGCTCTGGACCAGACCTGGCGAGCGTGAAGTTGAGCCCCTGAGGTTATCTGTGGACACCAGCAGCAGAACCCTACAGGATGGCGGTGGGAACAAGCTCTGTCCATCAGACTTGGGAGTCTGATTCCACAGCGCAGAGGGTGCTTTCACCTCCTGATCCTGTGAAGATTGCACGTGGGACACCTCCCTAAGGGCAGTTTGTCTCACTGTGACTAAACATCGTCCAAGAGGCCCAGAAAACCCAGCTCCTGAGCGCAATCCCTGGGACGAGGCGTGGCCTCGGTTAGGTGATGTCTTCTGGCTCTCCTGCTGACTCCCTTGGCCTCCTCTCCAGTCTCAGGCAGTCTAGAACGGCCCTCCTGCCTTCGCCCCTAGCTAGCCTGGCCAGCGCGGGTACCGCAAGCTACATGCGCCGCCAACTCCATCCTTGCGTGCGCTCCGGGCTGCCGAGACGCTCCGGAGCGCTGGGGTTGGGCAGGACGGACGGGGTAGCCCTGGGTCCGCGGGGCCTCCTGAAGGTCCAGGGCGGGGTGAGGTCTCTGTTAAGTCCAGAGCTGGAGAAGCCTGGAGAACCTTCTCCACAAGTCCAGGTTGGGTGGGGCTTCCGAGGAGGGGCGGGGTCTCCACTGATTCACGGAGGGACAGGGCGTCAGTCAGGGGCGGGGCCTCCGCAGATCCGTGGCCCGGCGGGGTCCCAGGGGTGGGGCCTATGCACAGGTCGGGGTGGGGCGTCTCAAGTCACCGAGGGGTGGGGACTCTCAGGTCCAGAGCCCGGCTGGGTGGGGCGGGGCCTGCCGCTGCCTCTGGCGGCCGTGGCTACAGTCTGATCTCCAGGGGCAGCTCAGGTACATAGGCGGCCCCAGTCTCTCCGGAGCATCCTTCCCGGCTGGTCCCCGCCTGCAGCGCGCTCGCTCGCAGCTTCGGGCCTGGAGGCTGACTTCTTTTGTGTTTTGTTTTCTGCCCCACGCCTCGTCTCTGCAGGACCCGTTCGTTCTTCTGCGGGCTACAAGAAGGCAGAGGATGAGATGTCCCGGACCACGTCTGTTGGAGACCAGCTAGAGGCACCGGCCCGCATAATTTACCTCAACCAATCTCATCTCAACAAATTCTGCGACAACCAGATCAGGTAGGAGAAGCCGCAGCCGGGTGAAGCTCCAGGCTCATCTTCACGGGATGGCTTTACCGTCACCCGGGGCGCGGGGGGGGGGGGGCTCAGTCCACTTGCTTCCCCCCCAGCACTTCGCATCTCTGCCTCCTGCACCCACTTTGAGCCCAGAGGTCCACACCCAGTACCCAATGGGTCATATGAACACAGCTGCTGTCTTCCTCCTCCTCTTTGCAGTGCTGTGCCCATTCCCTCTGTGGGCCTTGTGGAAGTTATTCTCATGCCAAAAGTGAAGGTGTCCACTCACCCCTGCACTGCCTTCCAAGAATTTCCTTAGTCTCCGTGTAACCTCATTGATGGTTCTCTTTGTCATACTACTCTCTTGAGTAGTTTGCAGAACGTCTGTGGGGACATACTTTATAAGGGAATCCCGCAGGCCACAGAGACTCACGTTCATTTCCCAGTGTCCCACTGCATTTGCTAAGGGTCTTATTTGCTAGGAAACTTTGTCCGGAGTCAGCAGAAAAAAAATGAATGGAAGGTAGCATTTTAGTGTCTGCTTAGAGTCTGCTCTTTGTCTGCTGGCCACTGTTAGATGTGTTAGCCATGCCAGCATCTCCAGAGTCTCGTGGAGCAAGTCATTACCTCCAGATCAGGAAACTGGAGTGGAGAGATGTGATATATTGTACTATGCTCATATATTAATAGCTACTAAATTGGAAAGCGGGAAATCAAACCCACTCATCTGACCAGCAAGCATATTCCAGTTGCTGTGCAAAATTTGTTTCTTAGCTTGGTGTTAGCACACTTGGAAATGTCAGTGAACTTTTGGGCTCTGACCAGCTTAACCTCTGCGAGTGATTTCTGAGGATAGTTTTGTGAGCTATGTAGATCGTCATACTCAGGCCTGGAAGATACGGATAGATCAGGTCCCACGAAGATTATTGAGGTACAATCTAGTGCTCTTTTTAATAAATAAATAAATAAATAAATAAATAAATAAATAAATAAATAAATAAATAAATAAAGCTTTGGCTAAAACTTTGTTATTGTTACATATCTAACTATTACACTACCTCAGTAATGCCACACTGGCTGCCTAGCTTGCAGCAGGGTCTGGTTGTTGCTCATTTCTATAGCTTAATTTGGGAAAGAGCAACAATGCACCTCTATGCATTCATCTTATTAAGGGAGTGTCAGATTGTGTGGCTTTATTTTGTGTTTCAAGAATGACCTTTGAACACATTTTATACTTAAAAATTAAAGCTTAGGATATCCAAATCTTCATTCCTGAATAAATAGGCTTGTTTTGAAATATGGACCACTGCAGATATTGCAAACAGCCCATTATAGTGTTTTTTTTTTAAATCAGGGAAATAAAAAAAAAAGAGAGGAAATTGGAGCCTCATATATTGCCAATAGGAATGAAAGATGGGGAGGGGCTGCTGCTTTGGAAAGCGGTTCAGCATGCCTTCAAAAGGATCGGGGTAAAGTTAGTACAGGAGCCAAGCAATTCCAAGAGAAGCTAACAAGTGTGGAAACAGAGGTCCTCACAAACACACGTACACCATGTTCATAGCAGCAGGACTATGGTGTCCCAAACACGCACACATCAGGTCTTCATTCAGGTGAGTCTATGAAGTGTAGAAGAGCCACACAATGGAATATTACCTGGCTATAAAATGTTACAGCATGGGTGAATCTTAAAAATATTAAATGAAAGGACAAGTCATGAAAAGCCTCATTCCGTATGAACTGATTTATGTGAAATATCTAAAAGAGAGATGCATCTTGTGATACATTGGTGGTTTCTGGGGCTGGTAAAGGATGATGGAAGTCTGGGAGATGGAGAGTGAGTGTGTAGCTTGGAATGATGTCTGTGTTACTCCAAATACATGAAAAGTCATTTGGAGCCGAGCATTGGTCATATAGTTCCATGTCTCCACACTATTTCATGTTTCTATTGAATTCCTAGCAAAAACACTAAGGTCATTTTTAGAAAAGTTAAATATTGTATAAGGAGATTTGTTTGTTTGGAGCATCACTTTTCTTTCCTTTTTTTTTTTTTTTAAACTTATGTGCTTTTCAAAAGGTATTTTTGCTTTGTTCCACCGGTTTTGATATCTCTTTGTGGTGGTTTGAAATAGTGGCAATAAAGTAGTGATCTTCCCACCCCAATCCCTTGTTTCCACGGGAGGTGTGCTGTTTATGTTTTTTGTCAACCTGACACAGGCAAGGGTCACCTGGGAAGAGGGAACCTCAGTTGAGAAAATGCCTCTGTTGGATGGCTCTTTCGGCCAGTCTGGGCGGGGAGGGCATTTTCTTGATTAGTGATTACTGCAGGTGAGCCCAGCCCACTGTGGATAGTAGCATCCCTGGGCAGGTAGTTCTTGGGTGTATAAGAAAGCAGGCTGATGAGCCATGGAGAGCAAGCCAGTGAGCAGCCTTCCTCCATGGTCTCTGCTTGAGCGCCTGCCTCCAGGGTCCTGCCTTGAGCTCCTGCTCTGACTTCCCTTCATGATGGCCTGAACACGGCAGGCTGAGATAAACCCTCTGCCCCCAAGTTACTGTGATCATGTGCTTATCATAGCATTGGAAAGTGAACTGGGCTGGAGGCAAATGTTTAAGACCAGTGGAGCCTCGATACCTGTCTGTGTCAGGGCGGTTTTATCCTTAGAGGGATTCCAACTGGTTACCCGATGCATAGTATCATTTTGTACTTTTTTTTTTTTCAAAGAAGGACTTGAAATAAGTATGTGTATTGAATTGGCTAGGAATAAAGCGGGCATGTTCCAGCTGTTTAACTGTATGGCTGGATTCATTTAAAAATATCATGCTAAGTATTAAAATGTCAATGTCTGACTTTGTGGTTTATCCTGTAGGAAGGTTTCTAAATGCACTAGACCCAGGCTGAGAACTTTACAGCGTGGCCCTTGCGCATCTGTAAAATAGCCTTGGAGTACGTGTTCCACCTTTACTGTGTGTTAGTGGGAATCGCTAATGGTTGTCGACGACTTGTAGTTCATTAGGAACTGATTACAAAGCTTGACACTAGAGTTTAGGGCTTTTAAAAAAAAATGAAGGGGGGAAATGGAACAACTAAAAAAAGCCAAAAGCAAACTTAAAAAAAAATGAATTTAAAAAAAAAACAAACCCCTTAAAGGAAAAATTTCAAAAAAAGGAAATGCCAAAGAAACTCTTTTTATTAATATTAGTTTCCATGTGAAAAGGTTGATACTTTTCTCATAGGCAAGAACATGGTGTGTGTGGGGGGGTCTTTCTCAGACTGCCCCTCCCCTCATGCCTGGGATGGAATCTGCCTTACACACTCTAAGCACAAGCTACACACCCAGGCATGCTGCTTCTAAATTAAGCTTTTTGGAAAGAAAAGATCTCAGGGGGCAGCTGAGGGTCCTAATGGTCCACTGACTGGGGTATCTTTCCAAAAGCCTACCCTCCCCAGGTTGGGGTTCTGATACTCTCCCGCCCCAGGCCCTTTCTGGCTTAGCCCTGTAAAAGCAAGTACAGAGTACTTGCAGCCCTGGGCAATTACTCTGTACTTGCTTTTACAGGTGCTTGGTGAGGTTTGATTTAAAGACAGGAACAGGGCCTGGGGGTTTGATGGTGAGGAACGGGGACTGTTGAGCATCTGGGAAAAGTATGTAAAAGATGATGTGCTGTGATTCAGTGTGGGAACTGATGAGTCTGAATGAGGGGGCTTGACCTGGAGAATGGCCCGGAGAGCAAGTAAGCAGCACTATCTGGTTGGTTGGCCTACACCTCTGGGGGATGCTCTACCTGGGAATTCTAAATTCTTGGCAATCAGAATTTAGTCCTGAGAGTTGTGTCCTGTGTGCGAGTCTCTCCAAACCTTGGTCTTGGACTCAACACTGAAGTAATGTCTGATCTGCTGCTTGCTGACCTTTTCCTCCAGGAAGCCAGAGAATTATCATTGTCACCACGGTGGTCAGTTTTGAAGCGGCATCTTTTCCCTAGGCATTGGTTCTCACCTAAGAGGACAATGATTTTCTTCACTGTTTAGAAATTAACAGTAAAGCTGGGCATGGTGACGTACGCCTTTGATCCCAGCCCTTGGGAGGCAGAAGCAGATGGATATCTGTGAGTTTGAGGCCAGCCTGGTCTACATAGTGAGTTCTGGGACAGCCAGAGCTACATAGTGACACCATGTCTCAAAAACAAACCAAACAAACAAAAAGAAATGAATAGTAGTTAATGGGATATTTCATTGTTCTTATACATATGGAGGATTGTGCACCTAACAAGATCTCCTTTTTCTGGTGTATAATCTTATCTCCTTTTACACATTTAAATGCACAAAATGAGATACCTAAAGTTATAGTTAAGTGATACTTTTGTTTATTCATGGAATTGTGTAACCATCATAATTGTAAAATTTAGACCATTTATACCTCTTCAAGAAGAAACTGTACCATCTGTCAATCATCCTTCTCTCTCCCAGTACCATCACCCATCAGTTATCCTTCTCTCTCACTGTACCAGCTATCTGTCATCCTTCTCTCTCCCCTCTGCCTCCTCCCTTCCCTCTCAATGCTAAATAACTACTAATCTACTTTGTTTCTGTAGGTTTCTCTGTGTCAGACATTTCTCATGAATGGTACTGTATCCTTTTATGTAGATTATTTAAATTAAAGTGTAACAAAAGCATGCTATTTAGAGGAATGGGATGGTAAATCTTTAGTTTTCTATATCCTGGCACAATTTACCAAAGGAATGATGAACAATATTTGTGGTACCATAGTCAGCAATATGTCATCCTTCTCTGTGGTTATCAATGCATGTCATTTGGAATTCTGACTTTTTCAAGGCTGTAAGGAGTTTTTATGTTTGGAGTCAGGTCTTCAGTGCAAGTCTAGATACTTCATTTGGGTTTGGAGTGACTCATTCATTTCAGGTGGGCGTTTCAGCTAGCAGCAATCTGCAGGAGAGCAAGTGAGAGTTGTCAGATTAGTGTGTTTCTTCACATTGCTTTGTCTTAAGGG